CTTCAGAGTAAATCGCCAGAACGCCGACACCTCCACCGCTCCCATGTTTTATTTTGTGTTTCCATAAGTTAGTCTCTCTGCGTTTCTGCGCTGGGCTAATGCTAATGCTAATCATGCTAATGCAAGGATAATAAAATGGCGACTTCACAAAACCTTTTGGGAGTTTGACGGGGCGTGGTTTGCATTCCGCCCAGCCAATCAGACATAGGAACCTTTTTCTCCCACGGAAGTCCCTGCTCTCTAGCAGGGACTGAAAAGGGGGTGAAAAGGTTCTCATGAACTAATTTTAGTTCCGGCTGTTTTTGGTGTGAACGCGACATTTCGGAACTATATCGGAACTAAAGTGGGAAAAGTACTGCGGTGTGAACGCGGCTCTTTTGTTATTTTTAACCAAATCTCTCTCAGAGGGGCGTGGGGAGTGGCTCCTTATTTTCATCTAAAGTAACAGACAGAGAATCAGCACTTTGGAAACAGGGCTGAAACAGAGGGGATTATGGGATGCTACAATACATGATCAAACACTTCAGAGACATGTTTTGTGTATATCTGAGACCTATAATATATTGATGAAAAACATTATAATAGGGGACCTTTAAGCGATCAAGCAATTTAAGTCTTAGAGTTTTTTACTTATTAGATATAATTCTAAATCTGAACTACAATTGTAGTTGTGTACGTGTTTGGATTGTTTATGTTTTGTTTAATGTAACAATATCTTGATGAATATTTCTGAGCTGCAGCTCTCATACTTGGTGTCTCTGCTGTATTCTGATCATTCATATTATGTCTTGTCATCAGACGGGGAAGACGCCCATCAAAGACATGTTTTCCGACCTGAAGGATGGGAGGAAGCTACTGGACCTCCTGGAGAGTCTCACTGACTCTGTACTGGTGAGTGTGTGTGTGTGTGTGTGTCTATCAAGATCAACAGACCTTTGTGTCAAACAATAACACAAAAAAAAGAAGGAATAAGTTCATTTAACACACATTTTTCACATCATTTTTGCTTCACTTCTGGTTCAACTTGAGCTGTGGAATAAAAACTCAAACATAAACTTGAAAGTTGAATCTAATGTTAACATTAAAGCCAGAGGGGACTTCAGGAGATTTATTTATTTAGCTTGATGCTGGAATAGAAACGGCTAAATTAGGAACAGATGTTTTTGCGAACACATTTACATCTCACACTTCCTCAATTATCGAAGTGTGAAGTTTGCTGGTTTTTCCAAATGTATTTGATCTTATCAAGACAATTCAGATATTCCTCCAAAAAGATGTTGCTCAACAAAGATTCATTTGAGTTATTAGCATTCAAGCTCACATTTAACAACTGATTAGAAGGAGAATTTAACATAATAACAAAAACGCTTGTACAGAAAAGGAGAAAAACAATCACTTATTCATATTACATCCTAAAGTATACATGTCTTCACTGAACAACCATGATCTTATAAAGAGCTCCTTCTGTTTTTTGGTGTTCCTTATTTTTTTTATCAGTGTCACCTCGCTGTTAGCCCTTCAACAGCACATCTGCTTTCTAGCACCTGCATCCATACACACAGTACACACACATACACACGCACGCACGCTGATACCCAAATACTAATTCTATAATGGGGTGCTAATGGGTGGTTGAGGTATGTGAAGACTTAAAAAGGATTTGCACTTGGCAGCGATCCATCCTGCCATTCTTTCCATAAGTTGGCCTGTGGACACTGCTGATAGGGTAACGAGTGTGATGAATGTATGGAGAGAAACTCACTGCTGAGTGATGGCATTCCTTTTTTCTGTGCAGCAATGCCTCACATCCACATTTACTGCATCAGTCTGGACGATTGTAAATAAATGTTTCATAGACTCAATTCACTAAAACTACTCCCATGTGTCTCTGAAGATTTTGAACTACCAAAGTTTTCTGCAGCATAATGATTGGCTAATAAAGACTGAACATGTCGTCACCTGATTTGTGTTTCCTGTTCCTCAGACCAAAGAGAGAGGCTCCACCAGAGTGCATGCTCTCAACAACGTCAACAAAGTACTTCAAGTCCTGAATCAAAATAATGTGAGTATCTGCTGTTCTCTGCAGTTTCTTCTCGGGTTTTGTCACATCAGCTGTTGTTTAGCATGTGCCTTCAGCCAAATCATGTACATCAGGGTTTCATTTTAGCTGCATATTACAGCACAGCACCGTCAGAAAGAGGGAACCATAATGAACTGCAACCTTAGCTGCTATTGTGTTATGTTGAAGTAAAACCCACACACATGTTGGCTATGCTACATTTGACATTGTCTCACACTAGCCGAGGTTTGTCCATTTCTAGCCAAGTGTGCTCCTGCGTTATTCAAACCCGGTAACACTTTCTGCAACTATACACGACTGCATGTTCTCTGAATGTGTCTATATTGAGTTCAGTATATTTCTTTGTCCGTCTCCCTCCATCACTCCCTCAGCCCTCCTCATGTGTACAATGGTTGGTTACTTAATGCCTTGACCCAAGCAGTGTGAGCTAAATTGCAGGGCATGCTCACTGGAAGTTGGCAAAGCTGGAGTTTGTATGCAACCCCTGCTGGTTTCTCTCAACCCCAGCTGGCAGCGAAGGCCAGAGTTCCCACAAGCCTTTTAAAGTCTGCTGCCTGGAGAAAATAGTGTTTGAAAATAAGAGTATAGAAACCACATGTATACTTGAAATTGGCTTCTTGTTGATGTCCTAGCTTTGGAAAACATGACTTTACTATGCACGTATACTGTAACATGAATCTACAGCTGTATCTGTAGAGCTACTATATGAAGAGTGTCATTGCACTATTTATTTCCTCTCTGGCATCTAATGACCGGTGGTGTGTGATTTGTCAAAGTTTTTGGAAAGTGTGGGTTCAACTGGAAATATGTCCTAGTTTAGAAGGTGGGGATGGAAACATGCACACAGATGCAGAGGGCTGACTTCTGTGTGATAGGCCGAGCTACAGAGAGAAAGAAGGATAGAGAGACAGACAAAAAGAGTATAGTTTGGCGGGATGAGGCTAATTGGGAACAGAACAGTTCAGGGGTCAGCTCTGTCGTGCACGTAGAGGTCACTTTGAGTCTGACCAGACACTTGACCTCATGTTCCACTCAGTGCCTTGATCTTCTCCAAAATACTTACATGTAATCAGTTCGCACTTAGCCTCACCTCATATGACTAAAGTCGGACAAGGCTGCAGACATGCTTTATTAGTAGCAATTGAAGGGTGTAATTAGTGTGGTATAATCCACTGTGGGGGGAAAAGGCATGGTTGAGAATCTTTCAGCTGTAACAATGTGGACACTCATTAACATTAGCAGGAATCATTTATACTCCACTGCAAGAAACTTAGATTTTTGCTTTGTAGTTTAATAAAACGATTCCTAAGTGTTGCCTAATTTCGAAAAAAAGATTTTTACAGTTTTATAATGTTGGCAGTGTTTTATTGTTGGCATCTGAGCCGGCTTTTCAACGTATCTGCTCAACACAGGAATCATTTCAACTTTTTAACTAATACACAGCTTTAACAATACTTGTATTATTCATATTCACATAAACATGTTTTTCTCTCATCGTCTGTCACTTTCAGGTTGATCTGGTAAACATAGGAGGGACAGATATTGTGGATGGAAACCATAAGCTGACTCTGGGCCTCATCTGGAGTATTATCCTCCACTGGCAGGTGAACACATACAAGTTCAGATTATGAAAAATCAGTAGTGATGTTCACATGTGCGTGCATGCATGTAAACGTGCATGTCATCAACTGCTTTGTGTACGTTTTTCCTAGGTTTAATTAAAAAAAGGTTTATCACTGCCAGTTCTTTCAATATTAGTTGTTTTATTATTTAGAGTTTACATTCATTTCACCTGTCATTGTATACAGTATGAATTGCATTGTGTTAGTTACAAACCTGCCATTCGTATTACCATGTAACGTGTTGGTGTTAAACTGTGATATTCTCATATCATTTCTTACACATTATCAAAATCTGTGCCAATTGCATTTGGCATGATGCATTCATCTGCCATGGGCCCCTGTTACATAAGATGATCATTATAATAAGTATCCCTTTCCATATCAACACCAAACACATGCAAGATGTGCAGAATAAAATGATTTTTAATCTGGTTTATTCACCCATATAAATGTGTGTTTTTCCATGTTCGTGCAGGTGAAAGACATCATGAAGGATATCATGTCCAACCTGCAGCAGACCAACAGTGAGAAGATCTTACTGAGCTGGGTACGCCAGTGCACACGCTCTTACCCAGAAGTCAATGTGCTGAACTTCACCACCAGCTGGGCTGACGGCCTGGCTCTCAACGGCATCCTGCACCACTTCAGGTGAGGAGAGATGTAACGTCATGGTAACAAACACTGTTAACCAGTTAAACCAGTTCAAGGATTACCTTTTCACATCCATGGTACATTTAGTCTGAATTGTATGACTTGAGTCATGCACATTTCTGGTAGACTACATTTCCCATACTCTCATGTTGTTGTATTTGTTCCTATGGTGACATTGAATATTTGACATGCCGTTTGACTTTGAAGAATGTAAAAAAACCAAGGCTTGGAATTTAGGTGGTGTGTGTGTGTGTGTGTGTGTGTGTGTGTGTGTGTGTGTGTGTGTGTGTGTGTGTGTGTGTGAAGGAGAGGTTGTGAGGGTTCCCTCTCTGTGTGTAAATGGCGGGGGGTCAGGTTGACAGGTCAGCGCCTGCCGGGTGTGTGTACACGGCTTGACTTGCTCTGTTTACGCCTGCCATGACACTGTTTGCACACGCTCAGTGTGTGTGTACGCCGTTGTGTGTGAAAGAAAGAGTAAGAGAAGCGTCAGAGGGTGTTTCCCCCGCTTTCTGTAACCCCTTGTTCTTACTAGTGACACACACTGGCACACAGGCCTGTGAGCTGTGAGAAAGGCCAGTGTTGGTTTAGACCTGGGCCGGGGTTTAAGTGGATCACTGAACACACACATTCCATACCCAACTGGCTTCAACGCAAGTCCCCCTGAACCCCTAAGGGAAGAGTCTTTTTTGTACAGAGGACACATATGCTTCAAATGTTTGTTACTTTTTTTCTGCACTAGAGTAACGCTCAGAACAAGATACATCTACAAACTTCCACCCCCTTTGTTAAAACACAAGTTAGTATAAAAACACATGCATGTACAACAGAAGCTATGATCTCAGAAAATCAACTATTTACCTTCACTCCAGCACTTTGAGAAATGCGCATATTTATGCAGATATGCGTGTTATATTAATAATCTGAGACTGGAAACCCTATTCTGGAAATCCTGAATGTTAAAGTTGCCACTGTTCTTTGTGTCTTCAGGCCAAATGTATTCAGCTGGGATCAGGTGGTCCGACTGAGCCCTGTGGAGAGACTGGACCATGCCTTCACTGTAGCCAAAGACCAGCTGGCTATTGAGAGGCTACTGGATGCAGAAGGTACGTCCATTAGGAGCTGTTTAAAAAACATTTCCCATGTTGTACACCAACTGTATTTATTTTGGCAAGGATGACTGTAGAACGTTCTTTTATATAAACAATTATATTTCAGTCACCCATAAACTACCTTTTTAAAGCGGAACAAAACAAAGTAAAAGCTGGATATGGAATGCCTTCATTTTACTACCAAACATTCCCACATATTCGAACATGGTCTGCATTCACAAAGCCTACCTTCATGTCCTGCCAGCAGTTGGATACACTCACGGTGGAGCAAATACTTGGTGTTATCTTTGGCTGAAGATTTGTAAGAAGCTGTGTTTGCTCAGAATGTTTTCCTACTTGATGGAGCACCTGTAGATCCTCGGTGTGCGTGTAGCTGAGCTGTTTATATTCATACACTTCTTATGTCATGACCCAGTGGTAGTCACATCTGACCTATGTCAAAGCAGTTTAATTTGTATAACTTGTCTCAACCTGCCCTTTTCTCTCCTCTCTCACCTTCCTCCCCTTCTAATCTCCTCTCACTCCATCTACCATGCTGCCTCTCATGCTTGATTTCTATCTCTGCCTCCCTCCCACTATTCTCCCCCCCCCTCTCTCTCAGACGTGGCGGTGCAGTTACCAGATAAGAAGTCCATCATCATGTACGTAACATCGCTGTTCGCCGTGCTGCCCAAAGACGTTACCATGGAGGCTATCAGAGAAGTGGAGACTCTGCCACGCAAATACAAAGTGGAGTCTGAGGGCTCAGGTCGAGGACTCAGTGCTCTGGTAAAACACCACACAGTTAATGTATGTGATATGATACAGGAGGGTACCAGACAAGCTTGAAAAACAAGCTTGAGTTTCCTTCTGGGCAAAGTGGGAAAGACACATAGATCTAGACCAAGGGGAGAGTCTCCTCGCTATCCACACAGCATTTCAAACTGCACACACACAGATAGTGCTCACTGGATTCCATGGATACATCTGCTTCTCAAGGAGTTCAAGGTGCTTCTTTGTGTGCAAAACCCACAGCTGGTAACCAGAGATGTAAACAGAAGAGCAGTAAGCCCAAACCTCAGGAATGTATACGTGGAATCCAAAAGCGAGTTTCTTAACAATTAGATGGTTCTTAATAATTGAGATGCAGAATCAGTTCTGAACTGGTTCTCAACCCTTGGTCTTGGTTCAGGACTTCTGTCGGCACTGAGAAAAACACAACATAGCATTCGATTTATTTAGAAAAACTTGCTTATTTGTTATGATTCCCATAAGTGATTGTTCAGTAAGCGATCTAAAATGTGTTATTCCTTTGGCATGTTCTAAATATGAAGAATCGTTTCATCTGAGTCGGTTTAAGCTGTTTTTTTTGTTAGTTTAACAGTGGATCTAAATGATACGGAAAGTATTTCTTGTTGATCTTTTTGTTCTCATGCACGTTTGCCATAACGATAATGCTAGCTGTGTTTTATATAAGCTGAGCTAACTTTACTAGCATCCTTTAGCCTATAGTGCAAGAGCTGCCACAATGCTAAAACGTTCTTTATTGAACTTGAAGTTTTATGTTATGCACATGCCAATTTTTGTATATAATGTGTACCATATGTACTGCAAGTACTAGCATTCACGTTCTGGGTTATAAGACGTACTGAATTGAAACCTGGATGTCCTAATTTAAACTGTTCACAATGCATTTGTATCGATACACCCCCAAAAAACAAAAGACTGTGCTCAATCCCCATGGTTCAGTTATTTCAGAAGTGAAACAGTGCTTGAGACCAGCAGATATATCCCCTCCGGTTGCTGCCTCTCGGAACCTTCCTTTCTGTGCCGGCGTAAACAAGCCGCTATCTCCTTCTATGAACGGAGAGATGATAGCTCGGCTCCTGAACGTCAGCCCCAACAGCTAAAAGCTCAAGCCGTAAAAAATCTGGACCCATAACTGCTTCAACCTTTTGCGGCCGCGTTGTGTTCGTGATAACATTCAGTTTAAAGGCCACAGCAGCTGGCATGTGCAAGAATAAGGAATACTGTGAAGTGCCTCATTGTGTGTTTCCTGATTGAATGAGTGAAAAAGCCGTCTCCTTCATTCTCTCCAGCACTGCTCATGAAAAGCATGGCAGGCGCAGCTAAACAGGGAGCAGAGCCATGACTCACCCAGCTGACATTAGCCAACAGACCAAACTGCATGCTGCTGGAAACACAGAGCAGTGAAGGGGTGGAAGGAAATGAGGGGAATAGAGATTTGACAGGGAAGGTTATTTGAGCATTGTGTGCTGGTGGGCGGGTGGCTTCAGTATGTTACTGACACGCACATGCTGATACAACATCTGTGTCTTATTTCTACACCTTGACTCAATTGGACTTCCCTGCTGTTTCACTAACGTGTGGTTCTGATAATTGTTCACATTGTTAACATACTATATTCCACAATAACTACAGCATCACCCCCAAAAATGTAATTTCATTCAATCACATGCATCCCTGGAGCGGCTCCTTTCAGAGGTTTTGAGTCAGAATTCCAAAACCACCTCTTAAGTTTTTATTGCCCAAGGGCACATACTTCCCACGCCTTGGAACGAGAGCTGGAAAGCGGTTTTAAATAGTGGGCTGATTGGTCCAACGAGGGGTTTACTTTCCTGGCACAGCTCGTCTTCATAGGAAGTGATGCGTAATGCTGCTGGAAGTGAGAGGAAAAAGAAAGGCCCTTTGTTTTTGCTGACTGTTTGGTTCCCTCCTTTTAGTTGTAGGTTCCTGATGATGTTGTGAAGTTCTTTCTGGTGATTTTAGTTGATTGTTTTCAACATTCAAAACAACTTCAGCTTGAAATCTAATAATATTGAATATTGCTGATGATGAAGTGAACTGATGTATGGATGATGGTGAATCATTACATGCTCCAGGATTTAAATGAGATGAATGCAGAGATCGAGTTGAGCAAATCATCTGGTGATAATAAAGTGTTCTGCTGTGCCAGACCACAGCTATTTTACAGCCATTCAAGTCAATGAATAGACCAAGGCTGCAGTTTTCTCTCTCTGTATAGTTCACTCTCTCTTTCTCACTCTTTTTCTCTCGCTGCTGCTGCTGTCTTTTCATCCTCAGCTCACTAACATAAGGGCTTACACTATTTTTGTTTACTTATTTCAAAATATCAAAGGTCATTGAGTATTTTCAGCACCTGCCCTTATCCCAAAATCGCTGCACATATGTTACTGTTGTGTATTTTCAGCCTGGAACACAAAGGGCTATTTGACTTGTTACTGTACCAGTCTCCACACACCCATTAGCATTTCTGTCATCTTTGACTTGGCATCGCTGCCGTGCATAGATTGATATCTCCCGTTCATTTCGGCTCCACACAGATCTGTTGAGTTCTGTTGAACCTTTTCTTGCTTACTTATAGAAAAGTGTAAACCTGGAATAGTTTGTTAATTCAGTTGTGTACAAAGGACGTCACATGTAAACATGGTTTATATCCAAATTGTATTTTTAATGGTATTCAAAAGTGAGATTGTGTTGACAAAACTTAAGGAACTATTTAGGAATGTATTCAGGAAGTTGTTGAAGGACACTGCAGCATTCCTTTCAGACATGTTTTTCCTATTGTACTATAAACTATTTTTACGCTTTAATGCTTTAAAAACAGCTCACCATTCATTTTCAAACTGTATACCCAACTTTACCCAGGATAGCACTATATTTCAAAGCGTCTGCTATTCCTAGAATGAGGATTGACCTTCCCAGCATGCCAGGGGCACCTCCCAGCATCCTATAATAGTCCTGCAGTTGTTTTTTTTCTTAAGTCAGCAAGGCAGGTCCCTCTGCGTACTCCAGAGTAAACTACATTTCTGGCTCTATTTTAAAACTGACCAACTGATATGTTCATATGAAAATCAAAAAATCCCTCTTCTCATGTTTTCAGAATGTGCAGATGGAGGAAGCGGGCAGCAGCCCCCGGCCTGAGACCCCCAGCCCCCTGACAGAGACTGAGGGGGAGATGGAGGGCAGCATGATGGAAGTGGACCTGGACAGCTACCAGACCACGCTGGAGGAGGTACTGACCTGGCTGCTGTCGGCCGAGGACGCTCTGCAGATTCAGGAGGAGGTGTCGGACGATGTGGAAGAAGTCAAAGAGCAGTTTCACACACACGAGGTAGGAGGAGACCTGCAAGCTGGCGTGAGGCTGCATGCACAAGCAGAGGAACGCACAAACAACAGCTCTATTTACCCATCAAAGTATTTATTTGTATATTTATTTATTCATTAATACATTCATTTATTTCTGTGGATATGTAAAAAAAATTAAAAAGGGAAAAATAGTTTGGTTCCCTTCCTACTTTAGTAGATGAAACGTCCCTAACTGTTTAAAAAACGACATGCTCAAAGAGATATCCTAAATGGACCTATACATATCCGTTTAAAATAAAATTCGTATTGTTTGACAATACAAATGCTGACACACTTTTATGACCCACATGATATTTGTCAGTTTTTTGTCAACTGTCATTCTCTCTGAGATAGAGGCCTCCCACAACCAACTGTACATGCTCTGTACATGTTGGGAATGCCAGGAATTCTGCTGAGAACATTGGCGCAAAGCACCCCACGGTGCCTTGGCCCAGAGCTTACTTGCTTGCTTGAGAAGGCGTAGCTGCAGGGTTTGTCTGTGCATGTGTGTCAGGGGGCTTTGGCAGGATTCCCTTGGCTGAAATGTGAATATTTGTGAAGTCTAATGTCTGGAATCCAGGGTCAAAGCAGGAAGCGCGTAGTGAGACCCAAAGCCTATTTAACAGCAGGTCTAAAACAAATCAGTTTGCTTCAGCCAAGTTGTTCACATACTCCAACTTCTCCAGCAAAGCCTAATCAAAAACCATGTGCTCAGAGGTGCAGTCAAAAATGCTTACTCATCCACAGAGCTCACACAAAACAGACAATAACTCAATTCATTGGGTTTCATTTTGCGCACAACAGCAAAGAGCAGCTCCTCTAAGAGTTGAGAAGCAACCAAATTCCTTCAAAGTTTCTCTTGTATTTCTTCTTAAAGTATTCCTCTTTTGTTTTGCAATTGGCCTCAGTTGGCTGCTTGGCAGACTCTGCTATTCAGTGTGTGCTATTCGCAGGCTGGCTCTGACTGTTGCTACAGCAACACTCACAAATGCAAGAGTGCAGAGGTGATGCCCGGTTCTTCTGCAGGGCATCATTAAGTGGTATACCAAGCAAAGCTCAAGGGTGGGGAGAAACCAGATGTTAGTATGTGGGAGCCAAGAGACAGCATGCTGCCTCACATTTAACAAGCAATGTTAAAGCTCCATGTTAAACTCAATCTGGATCATTCTAAAGGTATGTGGTCATACATCGTCTTCCTTAACTATCATAGTGTACATACAGTTAGTGGGTCCCACGGCTGTATGGTGCTAGAACATAGCTTCTCTGGAAGACGCAACATTAAAGAACACAAATCACACAGTTTGAGAGTCAAAGATTTGCATTACATCTTTTTAAATAACTGTTTTATGTTCCTCCCCAAAAGGCTTTTATGATGGAGCTGACAGCGCACCAGAGCAGTGTGGGTAATGTGCTTCAAGCGGGAAACCAACTGATAGCCCAGGGCAATCTGACCGACGAAGAAGAAGAGGAAATACGGGAGCAGATGAGCCTCCTCAACTCCCGCTGGGAAAACCTCCGAGTGGCCAGCATGGACCGCCAGGCCAGGTAGAAACACAAACAAGCACACCTGCTTCAGACCTGCAGGGGGGTTAGAATACCCTTTGCTGTTGTTAATTGCAAACATTACATCATTTTGGTTTATTTATGTCAGAAAATATAAATAGATAAGGCTTGAAATGAAAATATCTGTAGATGTATTCACTGGTAGTGTGCAGGGCAATCCCAACATGAGCAACAATTTGCTCCGAGGTCATTTTTCTCTCTGCGTCTCTGTTGATCTTAGATGTTTATGAGTTTTTCTTTAGAATGAGAGTGTTTGATAATGCAAACTGTGTGAAGGTGACATCTGATAAGCCTTGAGCCCACCAAGGCCTAACAAGTCGAACACTCAATCTGTGTGATCAAGGTTTACGATGCTTTACACACATACACATACATGCACACACATAGTTGTTCATAAATTGTATTCATGTTGTCCGCTCTATCGTTATTGACCCTGATCTAAAGTATTTGTGCTTATGCGTGCCATAACTCTGTGCATGGAGTCTGTATTCAACATTATCACTTACTCTAGACTATGTGCTACTGAGCTGACACCATACAGATGTGTAGATATATAGCTTCTGTTTCATTTCTTCACCTCACTCTGTGCTGACTCTCCCTCTCCAGGCTCCATGAAGTCCTGATGGATCTTCAGCAGCAGCAGTTGCAGCAGCTTTCTGATTGGCTGTCACAGACAGAGCAGCGAATCAGAAAGATAGAAACAGAACCGTCAGTGAACGACCTGGAGCTCTACAAAGAACAGATAGATCAGCACAAAGTAAGATTTCTGTCCAAGTGATGATTTTTCATGAATGTAGTCCATTAGAGAATGGGACATTGATAAACTATGATCAGGAAGGAGACAAAAATAATTCTCACTGCACTTCCCTTGGCCTAAACCAGTCTTGTGATGCATCATCACATGTTTGATCCTTTACTTAATGAGTCATTCACTGTCTCCATGGTGTCCCCATGAAGCCAAGTAGCTTCTCTGCCAGCTCTGTTAATGGGTAACATGTGACCGTGCTGAGTTCACTGTTTGCGTTTCTGTTCAGGAGCTTCAGAATGACCTGGAGGCGGAGCAGGTGAAGGTCAACTCTCTGACACACATGGTGGTCGTCGTAGATGAGAACAGCGGTGAGAGTGCCACCGCTGCCCTGGAGGAGCAACTGCAAGTGAGTTTCTTAAAATGTGTCAGTTCAAGAAGCAGAGCCTCCATCTACGACGTGCACTACATTAGCCTTTTATTGCTAATTCACGAGTAATAACATTGGTAATTTTTCACAAAAAATATCCTAGATCTGTTACAGGAAGCTGTTTTTGGTTACAAGATTTTGTACATCGAGTTCCAAATAACATGTATTAAATGTTTCCCCGTCCTTTGCGAAGTGTTTCTGAGAACATGTTGGTAGTAACAATTGTCTTTATCCTGCATTCCAGTCTTTGGGTGAGCGCTGGGCGGCTGTGTGTCGCTGGACAGAGGAGAGGTGGAACAAGCTGCAGGAAGTCTTCATGGTGTGGCAGCAGCTTCTCTCAGACCAGGTAGGACATGCACTATGAACTCACTCTCACACGTACAGACACAGGCACAGACGATATCATGCACATGGTCTTCCTTTTTTCTTTCTAATTAGATCGTCCAGCATAATTGGTCACAAGTGTTTGCTATTCCTAGCATCTTCAAAACGGCTCACATTTGACCGTTTTTGTTTCATTTTTACATTATTATGAAGGAAAGTGATTAGTACTTCATTACATTAACCTATCAATGTTTAAGATCTAGTGTTTCTCTTTAACAGAAACTTAAAAAAAATATATTTACTATAAAAACTGTGGTTTGAGTTAGAAATGTGTTTGCTTTTGATTTTAGGTCTTCAAGTTATGAATTAAAAGGGTTACAAACATGTTTTTGTTCAAAGGACACCAAGACTGTTTGTAAAGCTTTCTAGGTGTTTGAAGCTAATGCTATTTTCTCACGTTTTCCAGACTTTATTTAGAGAGTGGTTGGCAGAAAATGAGGAGGCCTTGAGTGAAGTACAGACCAGCAACTTTAAGGACCCAAGTGAAATGAATTCCAATGTGCGCCGATTAGCAGTAAGTTATCTGCCAAGTCTTCGAAGCTGCCACGCCAGATACTTTAACAACTAAATGCCTTTTTAAACTTCAATATAAGGTTTCCATGTTTTGTGTAGCCCTTCATTTTTTTGTGACTCCTTCCTGTAGATTTTGAAGGAAGACATGGAGAAGAAGAGGAGGACTCTGGACCAGCTGTCTGATGCCGGACAGGATGTGATCTCGCTGCTCCGGAGCCCTGAGGCCGGGGCCAAGATTGAGGCGGACACAGAGGAGCTGGCTCATCGATGGGATAACCTGGTGCAGAAGCTGGAGGACTGCTCCTTCCAGGTGTGTGTCAGTGTGTCAGAATGGGTTTTGTCCTCCTGCGTGGAAAACTTAATGCACAAAGTACAAAACTACACCTCAAGAAAAAGGAGCTATTCATTTAAATATGCTGAGGTCAGTGTTGACGAAGATGGATCAACTTGGATAAAATAACATTAAAAAGCTATAATAAATAGTATGATAATATATGATTGGGATAATATGGATTTGAAATTATATAAAGTTATGTAAAATCCCTTAAATTATTGTTGATTGTTCGATAGATAAGTAAAAAAGAATTAAACATGTAAAATACAGTAACATGAAGAGGTTGTGAGGTTTAGGATCTAATTAAAAAAAATTCCCAATAGCATAAGTTATTGATTTTACAATGTTGCAATATTGTTTCTTTAAAATTGAATTTATAATCGATTTTCAATATGAATTAAATAATTTTTCCTAAAAGGGAAGTAGGGTACAGATAATTAAATCTGTTGTTTCTAAATTAAAATTCTCTGCTCCCAACTCGGTGAGTTTGGTTGATGTCTAATTAATTCTCACTCTGACTGCTAAGGTAATGGAAGCTGTGACAGACGTTGGGATGACTCAGGTGGAAGAGCAGGTCGTCGTGGATACAGTTGCTGTGGCTGCTTCGATCGCCGACCAGGACTTGGCCCCGCCTGCTCCTCCTAAGAAACGACTGGTGGAGACAGATGCAGAAGTCAGACGATTGTAAGAACTTTGACACTCAGAACTTACCTCCTTTGTCAGGAAAGTGAAAGAATAAACCCAACCCCAATACACACATTGTGTTCTGTGTCCTGCAGGTTTGAAAATAAGCTGTCTGACCACTTGATCTGGATTAAAACATGGAAGACTTCCACTCAGGCGCTGGCCTCCACACACCCTGACACTACACCTGACACACCAGACCTGCAGGAGAAACTTAAGGTAAACCTGCAGGTGATTACAAAATACTTCAAATTAGCACATATTTTTAATAATCACCATAAATGTGTGTTTAATCACTGCAGGGTTTGGAGTTGGACCTCACAGAAAAGGACGCCACAGTGAGTCAAGTGATCCAGGACGGACGGGTCTTGATGGACCAGCTGGAGAGAGGTATGAAGGAAGGAGGAAATGGTCCTTTCTCAATCACACTGAAATTATTAGTGACAATAAACCAAACACTATTTTAAACAAATCCATCCAAGTTCTCAGAAAAGATGTTCCCATCTTTATTGTTTCTCAGAGGCTCTAACAGAAATCTTCCATTTCCCTGTTAAACTGTTCATCTCATAAGGTTTTACTACTTTTCTACAGCTGCTTGGTATTTTCCAGGCATTTACAAGCTTACATTTTTTTGATTGTTTTTCAGTTTTAGTAATCTGAACGTGTGTGTGGTGTGTGTGTGTGTTTGTGGACAGAGTTGTAAAAATCTGTCAGCCTGCAGGGTGGCTGACTCCATATAACTGCTCAATGAAATGAAGAGGCACTCAGGGTTCTTGATGTGTTTACACTGTTCTGGAGGCAGTGAGGGGTAGTCGAGCAGCACTCCTAAGTTAGAGAAGATTTGTTAAACACCAAACTTTCCACTAAACTCAACTTATTTTATTCCCTCATGTCTGCAGTTCTCTCATCCGTGCTGTGTTTTCCAATCTTTCATCCGCTAGTGTTTAATACTTTCGCTTCAGTGTCAGAAAACTCACAACACAGGCTGTGACACATTCCAACAAAATTATGCAAAAACACATTCAAAGTGTGCTTTTACTTTACTTGTGAGCCGTTTGAAGGGAGCGTTTATATTTTTTGACTTGTCTTTTTCTGTAGAGGGAGAGCGTGTGGACTCGGTGAGGGCAGACATAAACCTGATCCAAACCGAGTGGGATGTGTGTGTGCGGGAGCTGCAGGCAGCCCGTGAGCGAGTTCACACTCAAAGCCGGGTCAGAGCCGTGTCTGCAGAGCTGGCAGACCTCGACCGAGCCTTCGAGGAACAAGATCAATGGCTGGACTCGACCCCGACTGTAGAGAAGTGCAACGAGGCCGGGCTCAGAAGTCGGAGTGGAGAATGCCAGGTGAGAGTCAGCGTCTACATCCCCATTCACCCTGATCTCCTTTGTGTGACTTTAATCCTCACCCCTACCCCTTTCCTCAATCCTCTTACATTCAGATCATGCAGTTGCAGTCTCAAAAATAGTTCAGTTTTCACAGCAGAGATGAAACACTTCAAAAGAAAGTCATAAATCAAAACAACCATGAGGGCAAAATGGATATATTAACGTGAAAGAGTACCTCGGATGCTTGAGTCATTGAAAGGTGGCAGTTAAACTGAACTTTATTTTGACTTTGAGTAGAAAGGGATAACCTGTCAGTGTAAAGGATCAATCAGTCCAGAAACCTGTGACGTTTACTCCAGACTAACTTATTTCTTTGCGACTTAAGGGCACAAAATAGATCCCAAAGTTTAAGAAATTGCTGAATTTTTGTGTTCTTGTGTCATCATTCTCGATCATTATGAAACATAAATAATGTAATGTTTGATGCAAATCATAGGCTATATATAATATAGGCTAATATACATTTGAGCCAAGCTGACAATAGTTCAGATGAAGAAACGGCAACAATTGTCCCTGCTCAGTTATCTTTTGAAAGTTCTTCAGATACAAATTAGAAAGCGCTTTCCTCTTGTGTCCTTCAGTCCCGACTTGTCCAGATGACCGCCTCGAGCCCGCGATTGGAGCAGCTTTCTGCGGAGGTGGGGTCCCTAGGAGCCGTGCCCGCTCTGAAAGACAACATGGTGGTGGTATCGGCGCATCACGCCTCCACACTGCAGCGGCTACAGAGCAGAGAGCAAGACGTCCACAAAGGTACTTTTGCTGAACTATATCAAAAATGATTTATTAAATCAATGAACAGGAAAACTTCTAAAAAATCCCAAACTCTGAGCAGACCCCTTGGCGTTAACAGTACCACATGCTTTTCAAGGGACCTCTCAGCCTTGAGGCATGCTCTTATTTCAGAGAGCTGCAGTACAGATTTAAGCCTACCCTAAAACAAAGCCCATTTTCTCTCTGCTTGCTCCTGGCTCAAAGCTTTCAGGTTTATAGGGAGACTGAACGAGTGATAGCTAAGATCCGCAGAGCTCAGTCCTACAGGGGTTGTATAAATGTGACATCAGCTTTTATGAATCCTTGGCCTGCCACTGGTAATGGGTGCTGCCCTTATACGGCCTCCAGAAGCTCACAGATGTGTGCGTGTATCCATGAGTGATTTTGTGTAAGATCGTCCCTCTGTTCCAGCTCCATCTTCACCTGAAGACTTGGACCTGGAGCAGTCCTAAAATCAGGCACCGTTTTATAGTTTTTACTCTGGAATTTACATGCACTCCTATTGGCCAAAAAGAAGTCTGTAAAGGGAGACTTAAATGCTCTTCCCCACTCCTGACCCAAGGTGTGTGTGCTTGTGTCTGGTCTCTCTTTCCGTGCCTTTTAGGCTTTTACGACTCTCAGGATTTGGATGAAAGCCAAACAAAACCATTTTGTTTCTGCCTGAGGGCAATCAGCCTCCTGACAGGGCCTCTCTCTATTCCTCTCCCCACTACATTCAAAACCTGCTCTTTGTGTATAAACATAGCCAGATTATGTGAGCATTCAATCACCTGGTCCTTTAAAACACTGACCGAGCAGGAGAGGAGAAGAGCAGGAACAGCAAGTTCAATATAATGAAATATAAACGAGGTTGAAGTAGTCACAAATGGGCACTACTTAACTTTGTTTTTTCATGTAATCATCTTTGCCATGAACAGCAGATGAGCCTTGATTTTATAGTGTTTTTTTGTGTATTTGGCATGAGTGACATGTACCAATTGTTTAGAAGAGCACAACATAAAAACAGACAAACAGATCCTAAACCGGCTCGCTGCCCTCTTGTGGTTTCAAACCTAAAGCTATTGTCCTGATGCAAATAGCTTAATGTAATAGTTTATAAACATCTCACTCTCCTGCTTGTCTTCTTTCAGCTTTGACCTGTCTTGAGGCCAGCCAGTTGATGTCGAGCCAGGTGGAGGGCCTCGAGGCCAGACTTGCCACTCTGAGAGAAGGAGTTGTGGACATCCCTACAGCTGAGGGAGCAGTGGAGCGGGCACAGGTGAGCAGTTCATCAACTTGATACATGAAGGCTTTCTGTGAAAAACATAGTCCACTTTTCACTGAAACTAAATTTCAATCTGTGAAGTACATTTTCTGGCAAAACATTACATGTTGTTTATTGATTTAGTGATTAACACACACTTCAATATCATGGTTATACCTCCAGGAGCAATTTGGAGTTAAGTATCTTATCGTAAGACACTTTTCAGACCCTCTGATTGTTAGACGCTGTGCCACAGTTGCCTTCCAAACAACAACTTAACTGACCAGAAACCAAAACATAAAAACCTTGGTGGAGGTTACCACACTTATTATAATTAGAAAGTATTATTCTTGTTAGGTTGTATAAGAATAGTCTTGTTTATTTTATGGCTTTAAGTTTTGGTCTAACTTTATGTCTTGTTACATATTTTGTGTTGTAATATCTGTTGTTATTCTGCATCTTAATGTTACTAACTGCATATGCCAATATTCCCCTTTTTAACAGAATAAGGCATGTGTGGTTGAATATAAATTAAAAAAAAACCATTTAGTTAAACTAAAGAACACCACAGCCACTTGTTAGAAGAAAATGAAAATAAGTTATTTTCAATTGTTGTTCTTGTGGCTTATCCGTGGACTAAAGCTGATAAAGCATGTGCACTCTGACATCTTAGCTAAAAGGGTTTAATTGTTTGTGTCCGTCTTTGTGCTGGTACGTATATCAGAGTGACTGCTGTCAGTTTTTCTTTTCCACACACACACAACAATAGGTCCCTTTATCAGCCAGTCACTTCCCTCTGTACTGTATCCAACCTCTGTGTATAGGAAAGGGTGTATGTGTGTGTTTTGGTATGTAGCTTTGTGATATAGCTTTGTGATATATGGGTTGGTGTGCTTCGTGTGTGTCTCTGTGCGTGTTTCTCTCCTCCTCCATCCCTCGGTGGAATGTGGCTCAGTCCGGGCTGTTGTTATCGTGGCAGATAGGGCATGGTGCCGGGGAAGGGGTGGAGACATGGCACATTCTGGGCAGCGAGCCCATTCATGCTGCATGGAGCTCCAACAGCTCAGTGTGAGGCTGCTCAACCAGTCAGTCAGCCTGACAGCCACCCCACACCATCCCACGTCAGCATCAGAGTCCCATCAGTCATTAGGAAGTCGTAGTCATCCAATCTTTGCAGTATTGTTTCCTCATGTTTAAATTGATTATTTCATTGTACACATGCTGTATGTACGGAAGCCCTGAGAGGCAAATGAGAAAAAATATATTTAATAGTTTTCTCTCCTGTGTTTATAACGTAAGAACAGGGGGTAAAGGGTTTGCCAGGGTATTCTTCAGCAGTCCTTGATCTGCGTTACAGCAGTGAAACAGGTGGCCCAAGACGCTTTTTCCAGGTAAAAAATGAAGTTGGCCAGGATCACTTTACCAAGTTGGTCTTGGCAGGAAAAAAAAAATAATTCAGGATTGCTTTTGGTTTCATCTGTGCAAAAAAAAAAATAGAAGGTGATTTATTTTGTCAGGATAGTTTTTCTAGTGTTTGTTGTTGTAATACTCCTTTTGGCCAAAAGGGGCTGAAGCACACCACTAACACATGCTCTGAATAGAACTTGAAGCATTCATGTTCTTTCTAAGTTAGTTTTAATCCTACCATTCACTCAGCATGCAGGCACATAATCGATTTCAATTTTTTTGTTTTATTGGCAAAACATTTCCACCTGTTTCACAGATTAACTGAATTTGATGAACTTTACTTTACAATTATTTGGTTAAAACTCTTTTCCTCCACCTGTTGTCAGTTGCATACACAGTGGAAAAAACTATTTAGATCAGGCTTGAAAAAGGCCCCACCATCTCTCTTGCCTCTAAGGGCTTCTGTGAATTGCTAATGAAATCCGATGAATCATAAACATGTGGTAGCAATTGAATCACTAATATATTAACATGTGTTCAGCGAGTAAATGTGATTGTAAGGTTCTACAATCACATTGTCTGAATACTTTGGGCTACATTGTTGTAAACTCCCATACATCTTGCATCAACAAATCTTGTAGAAATCATCAGAAGTAAAGGTGTTGTGCAATGTTTTTTTATGGCCAGAGCACAAAGGCCTATTCCGGCTGATTTATTAATATTTAACTCGCAGACAAAAACAAAAAAACACCACATTTTTAACCACATTCTTGTTATATAGGAGTTATCGGTTTTACCAGGCTCCAGGTCAAGTAGCATTCACATAAACATCCAAGTAATTACAAGTGGGAAACCAAAATATTTTTGAAAGCTTTGCTATGAATTTGTGCGGAAACTCGGAAGTTCCTGAAACTAAACAAACATGGTTTACTAATGTTTGCCAAAGCCCGTTGTTTGAGATAATTAATCCTGAATGTTAGTATATTCAACAAAAAAGGCTCCTTCTACTTAGGTCTTTTTTTGTTATTGTTAGTGCTTGGTAAATTCATCCACAGAGAACAACAGCTGTGGTAGTTTCACATTACACAGTCAGTCGTTTTAAGCCTGAACTCCCCTTCCCCTCAGGGCCTGTGTCTGGATATTGAGCAAACACAGCAAGCCTCAGATTCTGAAGAACTACAAAGATGGAGTCAGCTCTCCTCCAGAGCTCGTGAGGAGCTGGGTACACTGCAGTGCATCCTGGGTAGCATGAAGGACAATCAGGTGGAGTAGCTGTAATTAGTCATACTGAAAGTCTACAAGCGTTGTCTTAACTTGAATGTTTTGAAATGAACTGGTTAAATGGTGTTTCTAGGTGCGTTTGGTGGATGTGGAACGTTGGTTGGAAGCGGTTGAGGAACTTTTGTCTCGTGATGCCACGGGGTTGGGCGACAAAGAAAGTTTAAAGGAAGAGGTTAACCAGTGCAAGGTTGGTGAACATGCAAAATGTTTACTTTTACTGTAGGACTGCAGGCCGTGACAATATGCATTCTGACATTAAAATGATTCCTAAATTGGTTTTCAATTATTTCAAAGTATAATCATGTACCTTTCTTACTTTGTTCTGCTTTAGGAGTATGTGAATGAGATGGAGTCAGTGGAAGGTTCGTTGAAGCAGATGGGAGAGAATGTGAGCGCTGTACAGACGACTGCAGTCCCAGGACTAACCCAGTGGGGGCAGGATAAGTTGGATGACAGCCAGAGCAAATGGGAAACACTCAGCAAAAAGGTGAAGACATTTATTTATCTTTTTGCAATATGTGCTGTTATGTCCTGCAAGAAATATGGCTTTCTAGTTTGTGTGAATGTAGTCAATACAAGCAAACAAATAAGACATGTTATGTTGTCTTGTTTTCACTGCACACAAACACTTAACACCTGAGATCATGTGAATCAATGTGACTCTGTACATATATATCATTATCATTATTATTATTATTATTATTATAAATACACACTATCATTATTATTATTATTATTATTTATTACATTACAGATTTTATTTTTATACTCCTGGACATAATTACTGCACTTTATTCCTATTCCTTTATTCCTTATTCCTTTATTCCTTATTCCTTTATTCCTTATTCCTAAGTATGTATGCTGCGTGTATTTTGTTGTCTTATGTTGTGATGTTTTTGTTTTGATGGCACCCTTGAAAGGGAGAAGCATTTATTATTATCTCATTGTACATGTATAATGACATTAAACGATTCTATTCTATTCTATTTACCTAATGTCACATGCTACCCCCCAGCTGCTGAGGCATCAGGAGTGCGTGGCGGAGAATCGGGAGAGGCAGGTGAATCTGAGGAAGGACTTGGCGGAGATGCAGGAGTGGATGACACAGGTCGATGAAGAGTTTCTCATGAGGGACTTTGAATACAAGAGTCCAGAGGAGCTGCAATCGTCGCTGGAGGAGATGAAGGTGGGAGTGCAGGCGTGGTCATAAAAAGTTTGCACAAAAAAACAAGTTGTGAAAGTATCAGTAGAAAAATACATATTATTACAGATTATTCCTTAAACTATCATCTCTGTTGCCGATGTCATTTTCATCTTACCTCCGCAGAGGGCTAAAGAGGATGTGCTGCAGAAGGAGGTGAAGGTGAAGATCCTGAAAGACAGCATCAACACGCTGGTGTCCAGAACATCGCCCCCTAGTGGAGGCAATTCAGAGGAGCTGACCTCGGAGCTAGATGTGGTTCTAGCAAACTACAACAAGCTGTGTGACCGCTTCAAGAGCAAGTGTCACACTCTGGAGGTAATGTTTGTGGGTGTGTTTGTGAACACAGAATGTGTTGTCGGTCAATTGAAGTCTACTAGCTTAAGTATACTTGCACCACAGCTTTACAGTGTATCTTCTTAGACCAACGATGGAGAAACAAGAAGCGTCATATTGGATTTAAAAATGTACTTAATGTATAAAAAGGTTCTGTGACTGCAAAAAAATCTCAATTTCATGTAAAACATTTTTTTACCAACTTGAAACTCCCATGTAGGAACAACATATGATTTATTCAATGTGTCATTACTTTGGCTCCCTTTTTGTTAATTTCCATGCAAACAACAAGAAAAGTTGGAAGGTCGCTGGTGGTTTTGTTTTTTTAGAGCTCGTTTTGAATTGTAAAGTCATAGTTCGAGGCACTGGTTTTAAATATCATCCCTTGACTCTTCAGGGTGAACGTCAGCCACCACTGAATTATTCTTGTCTTATTTATTTTAATTGTATGCATATTTTGCTGTTTACCTTAGGCATAATGATTTCTTTGTTGTAAAAAAGCATCACAGTTAAGTGTTTCTTTCATATTGTTATTCAACATTGTACATGAGGGCATACTTAATACAGCTCACTTTGTAGGAACATCATTTTTGTTAGTGCACAACTGTATTTAAATGTCTCTCATTGTGTGTGTGTGTGTGTGTGTGTGTGTGTGTGTGTGTGTGTGTGTGTGTGTGTGTCCACTGAAGGAGGTGTGGTCCTGTTGGATGGAGTTGCTTCAGTACCTGGATATGGAGCAGAGTTGGCTCAACACTCTGGAGGAGAAGGTCCAAGCTTCTGAAAACCTACCTGAGAGCACTGAGGCCGTCAATGAAGCTCTGGAGGTATAAAAACAAACACATACTGTAATCACATCTCATTCGTCGGCCATCTTTAACTTTTTTCTCTCTCTCTTTGACTCCAGTTTTCACTCTTTTTAAGTTTGATGGAATAGTGATATTGACTTACTTACACATAGTCCAAAATGTAATGTATTCATGAAATGGGTTGGTTTTGAATATAATTAAGGATGAGCTTAATTTCTTGATGTCTGTGTATAAACCTCACAGATCAGCATGGTCTGAGAAAGGGTGGATAGAAAAATAGTACATTTGATAAACCAAGCAGGCCATTTAATATTCTCTCTCTGTTAATATCCTAATTTCCTTTGACTTCCAAATTTCTTCCGCCTTGACTTTCTCCGTTGCTATATCTGTAGACTGGCCTGCAGCGTTGATGTCACACTCACTTTAATCAGAGTGCTGCTTCTGTAACATCGCATAGTGATGAAGGAAACTGAAGAAACCCTTGAAGACGATGTTTCCCCTTCCCCTCTTTGACCTTGGGTGTTGGCTTCTTCTCTTTTAATTAGTTCTCACCCCTATCCTTCTCTCTCTGTCTCTGTCCCTCTCCATTCTTATAATACTCCCTCTGTCCCCCTCACCCTTTCCATTCTCCCCCTAATCAGACTCACCCCTCTGGAGGGGGCAGACGCTCTGTCTCTGTTCATCCCCGCAGGGAAGCAAAAGCATATTTAATGACCCCACGTGAACAATGACTGTTGCATCCAAACAAATGGCGTCATTGGACAAGCTTCTCTCTCACTTGTCTCTCATTTCTCTTATCTGTTTGCTCAGCTTTTTGGATCTTTCTCATTTTGTCTTTCACCCACATACCCACACAATCATTTCACTCATTTACTGGATTTTCTTTTTCCTTCTGGTGTTCTTTCTTCTTCGAGTGTTTGGTTTCTAGCGTTTACTTTTTTCTAGTTTTTGTGGATAATCTGTGAAGCAATACTACTTTCTTGATTTTTGTTGGGACTTTATCAAAGGACTGTTTTATTTGATCTCTTCCTTACACTCATTTCCTTTTCTTCCCTCTTTGCTTGACGTTTTTCTGATGGTTTGCTCTTAACTTTACCTTTTTTTTTCATTACCAGTCTTTGGAGAGTGCGCTTCGTCATCCCGGGGACAACCGGACGCAGATCAGAGAGCTGGGTCAGACGCTGATAGACGGGGGCATACTGGACGAACTCATTAGCGAAAAGCTAGAGGCCTTCAATTCCCATTACGAGCAACTCAACCACCAGGTCAGGACCTTGGCTTTGATGGATGTGCATGTGTGTGTGTTACGGTCGATAAAAGGCATTCATTACGAGTTATTTTTGGATATCTTTTTTAGAAAAGTGTGAGCTATGCATTACCTTAACCTGTATATTTACATTTGATTCGTTGAGTCGTTTCTGCTGAAAACATCGCAACATTTTCACCAGATAATGTACATGTATTTCAGCACATGTATTTGTATTCACCTGTATTTTATTAATGTGCATGCAGTGTATTTAGAAGCATCTTTGAGCATTATCACATTAAGAAAAAAATACAAAAACAAAATCTTCGCTTTGGAAGGGTGTGCACATTCCACGTCTTTGAACTTGAACAATTCAAAGCCATAATTGAATGTCTGCTCGCCCCCGCCTCCCTCCAGGCGGTGAACAGACAGATCAGCCTTGAGCAGCAGCTGCAGACTCTGAAGGAGAACGAGCAGGCGCTGCAAACACTGCAGGAGTCTCTGAGCCAGCTGGACCACACACTCACCTCCTACCTCACCGACCGCGTGGACGCCTTCCAACTCCCTCAGGAGGCACAGGTACCGTACACATGTGCACAACACTCACTCTCAGCAGGACGGAAAGAGTGTGTCCCATAAATACAAAATAAAAAAAACAAGACATAAAAAGATTACTGATGGCTTTAATACAGAGTGAATTAGTTGCAGGATCAGAATTTTGATACATTTTAAAATGGAGAACAATTTATATATCCCCAAATTACAATAAGTTTACAAATGAGCTCTAATGCTTTCACAATATATGAATGGGTGGACATTTCATAATGATTTTGTGTGTAAACAGAATGGTTTGCACACTTTCCAGTTCATCAAGATTTATCTTAAGGCATCTTAACATGAATACATGGTTCATGGGTAATGAGTGAAACCAAAGCTTCACATTTCTGGTCCAGCAAACATCACACAGGACAAACTAGGAAAATGTAGGTTCATTCTTAATGGAAACTGCTCCAAGTAACAAAATACGGCAACACTAATGTGCTCAATGTTTCCAGTCTTTGGATGACAGCGTTTTCATAGCTTGAAGGCAAAACTAGCACTGTATGTTATTTCCCTTTCCTGCTACACACAAAATAATGGAGACATTTATTTAACAAGCAATGACACATTGTGTGCAACCCTCCGAACCTTTTAGAAGACAAAGAAATAAGCAAACAAACGTGATGGATGTTACTAAATCCAGTGCCTTTTTCACTTATCTGCAGGTTTTCCTACTAGAGTCCTATGGAACTGTAGAAAATACTAATTCAGTCTTCAAATAAGATACACACAGTGACACTCCTCCATAGAAGCTCTGAGAAATGAAACAGTAGTCAACAGTCAGACAAACTTGTTTTGATGAAAATAATAATATTTTGTTCCTAGATCTCATCAGCATCAGTAGGTGTAGAAGGGCCTTCCTGTATGAGTGCACATGTATTTATAGTGTTATTTTCAACTCTCTCTTCAGACCATTGGTGCAGAGATCGCAGCCCATGAGGTCACGGTGGAGGACATGAGGAAAAGGAACGTGGCCAACATGCCTCCGCCTTCCACTGATGGCAAAGCTGCTCGAGGTGGGACGATGCTGGACCAGCTACAGGTAACACTGACCCCTACTGGAGATCATCTGCAATTGCAGGAAGTCATGTCAACCAGCCTTCGTCAATACATCATTTAGACCAGGGGTGTCAAACTCAAGGCCCGGGGGTCAAATCCGGCACTCAACTTAATTTTATGTTGCCCCGCAAGAGCTTGCAAAGAATATAATATGTTTATTATAGAGTTAGATGCTACTTTACAGAAGCATGTTGCACATAAACTACATGTCCCACAATGCATCTCATTTTGTGACATGCGCACTGAAGAGACTTGCAATTATTTGCCCTAGACTTCTGCTTTCAGACGTAGTTAATTATGAAGTTATTACCCTATCCCATAATAATCCAATGCAGATATATTTATATATGTATTTATATATAGTCTTAAAGTTTTGCACTGGCTTTTAATACTAGTTGAACATAACATTTTGATATTTGTATGTGTTTTTATATGTTTCTAGTTATTGCGCTTTTTATCTTGTTTTTAATTATTGTTTTGTTATGTTACTCCTATTGTGTTATTTTATATTTGTTCCCTTAGAGCACTTTGGTCAACTGAGGTGGTTTTAAATGTGCAATATAAATAAATAAAGATTGAGATTGAAAGTTACAATCGGCCCTGTGAGTGCAACCATAATGCTAATGTGCCCGCGATGAAATTGAGAATGACCCCCCTGATATAGACATTAGAAGAAGAAAACTAAAGTGCCAATTCTTTCACAACCAAAACATAGAATCTTGATCAGATGAAGATGAAATCAGACCAGGCCAAGTGCTTGACTCTGAGTTGTTTTTTTTTCAGACAAAATGTTGAATAAACTGCCAAAAAATTAGTTTGACACAATACAACCTTATTAGGTGATCACAATATACGTGTAAAGTGTAATCTGATGCTGGCCTCCATATATAGGCTTGGGATACTAAAAAAGACAAATATGATTATATGAGAATTAATCTAACAAAATCCGATACCAAATATTTTGTAGTCATGGAAAAAATACAAAATTATGTCGGCAATGTTTATTGAATTTTACGTGTTTTCTGCTTCTGACACAGATGTAAAACTGAACTCTCCTTTCTCCTTTCCCTCTGCAGAGGAAACTGAGGGAGATCTCCACGAAGTACCAGCTGTTCCAGAAGCCAGCTAACTTTGAGCAGCGCATGTTGGACTGTAAGAAAGTCCTGGATGGAGCCAAGGATGAGCTGCACATTCTGGATATCAGGGACGTGGACCCGGAAAAAATCCAGTCTCACCTCGGTGGTTGCATGGTGAGGGCTACAACTTTTTCGATCTCTCTTATACACAAACCTTTTATTTGTGATTGGGTTAGTTTGGGTAGCTACCTATTTATGCAGCCACAAAATGTCCATGTAATCCTAACTCATAGGTTCCTTTTTTATTATAGAAACTTTACAAGTTGCTGAGTGAGGTGAAGCTGGAGGTGGAGACGGTGATAAAGACCGGCCGACAGATTGTGCAGAAACAGCAGACGGAGAACCCCAAGGCCATGGACGAACAGCTCACTGCTCTCAAACTGCTCTACAATGACCTGGGGGCGCAGGTAACTCATTCTTATATATATTTATCTTTTTCCATTCAAATATTCAACATCTCTGACACCAAGTTAAGACACCTTTGTTTCCCTTCTCTTTACAGGTAACAGAGGGCAAGCAGGATCTGGAAAAAGCTTTGTCTCTGTCTCAGAAGTTCCAGAAAGAGAGCGCCGCCCTGGAGGAGTGGCTGACCACCAGCGAGGCTCAGCTCCAGCAGAAGAACAGCTGTGGGGACATGCCAGCGGAAATTGATGCTGAGATCGCTTGGGCTAATGTGAGTAAACTGTCCCGACATGTCAGTGAATCTCTTCAGCAGGAGCAAAGAAATGCTTCTGCTCGTGGCCAGTAGATGGAGCATCGGGACAGGATGATCTCTTTCTTACACTGGAGCATTATGAAAAGAGCAGTGGTACTTTTGAAATGCTTCAGTTAAAAAGTGTTGATTTAAAATTGCATCTACATTCAAGTGAAATAGTATAAAGATTAGTATGAATGATTTTTGACTCTCTGAGAACCCAATTATCTGAAAAGGACAGAACATTTATTATGATGCCACACCCTGAACTTTAGACCCTTTAACACAAAACACTAAGCAATTAAAACTCAATAATTAGGAATTTAAATTAAGTCACAGGTTCACACTAAAATACATAAAAGTGTGTGGAAGATTCCAGCTCTCTTAATGTTTCTTTTTCAATGTTCGTTTTCTTATAGAGTTGAATATATGAATATATTGACCTTTAATCCATGCCATATGTTTGTTGGCAGTCTGTGCTGTACTGTAAATCCTAACAACAACAACTATCTGTTCCGGCAATAAATAATTGAAACTTGGAGCTCATCACATGTATAATATACTGTATATGAAGTTGTTTATGTGTGTTCCTCCTGCAGGGCCTGCTGAAGGAGTCTGAGCGTCGTAAGGCGGAGCTGTCCAGCCTGACGGAGACCAGCGCCGGCGTGCAGACGCTGGTGGAGGGCAGCGAGGCTCAGCTGGAGGACAAGCTCTACAGCCTCAATGAAGCCTGGGGCCGCGTCCGCACCTGGACCGAGGACTGGCTCAGTGCTGTGCTGGTGAGTGCAAATATCTCATAAAGTAAGGTTTAATAAATGAAGAGTTTCTGTGTTCTTTATTTTTATAATCTCTGAGTAAGTAAAATCTACCACGCTTATGGTTAAACAAACAAATGCTACTCTTAGGAGAACAAATGCATTCTGTCTGAGGCTGAGCCCATTCACATGCAATTTTTGTGGTCAATGAGAATCTTTGACTGTATTTCTAGGTCATATCCAATGTGCTGTGTTTTAGTTTTAAAAAGTTCATTCATCTTTTAAGTATGTTTCACACACCCTGGGCGGAGTAAATGGTGTTACAAGGTTATTTCCTTACAACCCAAAAGAAACCATTGCTCATGATGCTGTGTTAGTCAAATGGTTTCAGGAGCAATACAAAGAAATAAACGCAATGGAATAACAAAACAATGACATGCAAATCACCTCTTGAATCAAATATATTTGCCATTTGAAAAAAGTTTCTGAGGAGTTTCTTCTGGTAATTGTGCTCTGCAGCGGGTCATATCAAGGTAATGGAACCCTCAGAGAATCTTTGAAATGGTTTAAGATCAAGTATTGAATGGGGAAAACACAGGAGGAATTTAACAGTAATTCATGTTTTCATTTTGTGATGAAAAAACTGAGCCTCTTTTTTTGTGTGTGCAGAGTCACCAGAATGAAGTGGACATTTTAGATGAGAACTTGGCTCACATCAGCACCTGGCTGTACCAGACCCAGATCCACCTGGACGAGGCCGAGCGGCTCGCCCCGTCAGAGAGGGAGAAGGTGGTGACGGTAAGGCAGGAAGCTTTTACAGCCCTATGAATTAAGGGAGAGTGGCCCTATCGTGTGATCACAGCACATACGGCTCAACCTGTGAAGTGACCAGCCCCTCTTTTCTTTTACATATCATTCTAAGAGGCAAAGGCTTCATTTTTATAGCATAACCAATATCTTTGCAATGGGCCACCAACATTGCATCATTCAATGTACATAAGACATCAAGAGAAAACAAGAGAAATCATTGCAAGTAAATAGTGCAAGTGACAGAATTGTGCAAAATCGTAATAGAATAAGATAAAAAAAGTTAAAAAGAAAATAAAACAATCAAAATGCAATTGTAGAGGAGCTCGAGACACAGCAGCCATCTACGGCTCCATTATCATAACAGAGTGAGTAGTTTACATGTCTGAATATATGTAGGAATTGGCAGAGCTTATACCTTGACAAGCAGTCATAGTAGTTTATAATTGCTTTATGGAAATCAGTTCTTCTGGCAAGGAATTTCAATCTATGAGAATCCCTCAGGAAATCCTGTTACCTTGTGTTATTTTAATGTGTTTCTACATTAAAGGAATAGCATAATAATGATCAATCACTTTTGTACCGCAGCAGATATTATGCTTGGTTAGGAAAGGGATTTATCAAGCCCACATATTTGGACATTTTTACTGTGTAGTTCTTAATAATAATTGCCTAACGTCACCAGGATTTAATAAAAAAGAGACTGAGATACATTCAGGGCGAGAGATATGTTAGCGTATGGGAAACAACATAAAGAGAAAATGAGGAATGAAGTAAAGCTGAGCCTTTTATGGTAGTTTAAAATAATTTATCTTACAGTTAGATTGCATTCTTAACCCTTCCCTTCCCTTCCTCTCGCCATGACAACTGAAGGTCTCCACTAAATATCAGCTGTACCGGGCACTGCTAACCTTCATCACTTCATGCTTTGCTCAGCTCTTTGCTCTGAACCAAGGCTAGGCTGCCACCCGGTCCAAGAGAGAATGACTGATAGCATAAACTGGTTTAAATAGATGACCAGCTTCTCTGTCCTCTGTCCTCAGAGCATGCTGGAGGAGCTAGAGGACGTCGGTCTGCGAGTGGACAACGTGAGGGACCAGGCCATCATCCTGATGACCAGCAGGGGGCCCGCCTGCAGAGAGGTGGTGGAGCCCAAACTGGCGGAGCTCAACTGCAACTTTGACAAAGTCTCCCAACACATCAGAACTGCTAAGGTACAGTTTCACATACTTTATGTTAACTAGGGCTATTCACTTTTGGTCAAGATTGAGATCACTATTGTTTAACATTAATAGTCATTGACTTTAGAAACAGCGTGCATTTATGAAACTTTTTTTAAAGTCTTCTTGACTCTAGATATTCTTAATTTGAATATTATAGAACTTGATTTTTTAAACGTAAATAAATAGGATACATTTTTTTAAATTATTTACATTATTAATTAGATTACAATCTAGGATCAACTTTTTGCACCGCAACATCCTACTGAAAACTCCTTAACATATTTAAGATTTTGGTAATATTTGTAATATTCCAGTCGGCAACTCCGCAAAACAATAGAACATAATTGCAAGAGAAATATATGGCACAAATATGGTTTTATCTATTTTTATCCTTTTCTTCAATAACACACCTACAAATGCACAATTCAGTACTGAATGTAATTCTGCTTCACCTACAAAGAAGATTAGATTGTCAACTAGAAAGCATGTGGTATAGTGTTTACAGTCATAAGTAACATGTAATGTCTGTTTCTCTCTTTTTGCATTCAGATGATGAACAGTCTGGAGTCAGTAAGTGTTGACTTCAACCAGCACAAACCTCAGCAGGTACCGAAATTCCATCCATACCTAATAAAAAATAGCTAACAAGCCTTTTTAAGATAAAAAAATGCAATACTCTTCATGAAGCCAGCATATTATCACACATATTACTGCATCTGAACACTCTCATTTAGCATGTAGTCATAATCAGAAATTGTACTTGTTCTTGACCAGGGGTGTGTTTCTGCTCTTCCTCATCAGGTCATCCTTAGCCAGGAGATCCGAGCAGAGAGTCAGACCCGTCCTGCTGAGGTTCTGCTCTCCAGTGAGCTGAAGGACCTTAAGGCAGAGCTGCACGACACCCTGAAGGCTCTGCAGCAGCAGCAGCAGGACCCAACAAACATCCTGGATGATGACAAGGTAAACAAAGTCACCTTTCCATTTAGTTTGAAATGACCCTCTCAACGAGCAATGCTCACAACAATGGTGATGATTGATAATGATGGTAATATTGTGACACATAGACAAGGCATGAGCAGCCTAGTAGTAATTGCTTTGTGAAAATGGAGCCCCAAATGAAGTATTGTGGATAGGGAAATAGGCAATTCTATTAAGCTTTTCCAAGTTTTATGAGATTTTCTATGAGGAATAGGCCGGGCTACAGTCTATATAAAGCTGCCGCCTGATAAGACCAGCTTTGATTTGGCTTTTCAAGGCCTAACAAGTCTGGAATTCAATCTGTGTTATCAAGGTTTGTGACGTTAAACACACTGCCTACACAGACCTGACCAGTCCAAAGCAAGGTCAGCGTGCCAGTTGGGAAGCTCTTGCGTGTTTTAAACACACAACAGCATTTCCCTGAGAAACATTTCCACTCTGTTCAACAAAGAAGCAGCCTAGAGAGTATGTCAGTTCCTGCTGTGTAAGTTGTTATTTATTTTGCTAGCTGAATCAATAGATTTAAGAATTATTAGACTTCCTAGAAAGTTGGATGTGACTCGGAGCCTCTTGAACTCTTCATTTGATTTCTCTCTGCAACAGATGGACGAGGAGAAAGCCGGCGTGGAAGACTTGCTGAGAAGAGGAGAGGAACTGCTGCAGCAAACCTCAGACAGCGGTTACAGGGAGGAGTTGAGACTTCTGCTGCTCCGGCTGCAGAGCCAGTATTCTGCTCACAGGGTGAGATGCATTTAAGAATATGTTGTGTCTTCCTTAATCCGGATTTATATGGGAAATGTTTTTGTAATCTAAGGGGATGTAGCTCTCTGGGATATTTTGTGTGCACTGTTGCAGTTAGGTCAATATGTGTGTGTGTTTGCTTTAGGAGTCAAGGGTGCTACAAATCCGGAAGTTCGAAGCCTCTGTGGAGTCAACGTCTACCCACATCTTCACAGAGCAGATAAGCGAGTTTTCAGTCGAGGTGAGGGATTCAAACAGGCACAAGCACACGGTCTGCACACACAGACACTAACTAGGATGTTTCTTTAATCCCAGACTGGGCTCTTTCACTTTGAGTGCTTGATTTCATGTACTGTAGTGTTAGTTTTTAGCATAGAATGGCATGCAGGATAAGGTGTTAATACAGTTTATCTCTTTCTCTTCCTTCTGCCCTGTGTTTGTTTCCTGCTCATCTGTGCTGTAGGAGATGTCTTCAGTGGAGCGTAGCAGCGCTTTCTCTCTAAGTCCCTCCGACTACCTGTTGGACATCAACAAAGTTCTCCTCGCCATAGCCGACAACGAGTTGCTTCTGAACTCCTCTGAGCTCAGCGGGGGGCTCTACGAAGACTTTTCCAGCCAAGAAGACACACTGAGGGTGGGTTGTCAAATAAAAGTAATTGTAAAAGTAAAAAAAACAACACTAGTAACTTTTGTGTAGCAGTTTTCATAAAGTTAAAAAGAAGGGAAAGGGACATTTCTTGAATCAATCATTCTGCCATGTGTGAAATTCATTTCTCACCATGTTTTCTCTTTGTGTTCATATTGTATTTTGTCTTTTAATAGAACATCAAGGAGAGTCTGGAGTGTGTTGGTGAGCAGGTCACAGGGATCCATGAGCGGCAGCCTGATGCCATCCGGGATGCTTCGCCCACTGAGGTCGCCCAGATCGGAGACGCCCTCACACAGCTCAACGCTGAGTGGGACCGCCTCAACCGCATGTACAACCACCGCAAGGGGTGCGTACAGCAACTTCACACACAGACAGATCACACCTGACTTACACTCATTGTCTTGAAGTCAGGTGTGCAATCAAACCTCATTATACTTTTCTCGAAATATGTTGCAGCACAGGAACAGGTTCTGATTTCAGATGTAAACTTGTGTGAATCTGTGTCAGGAAATGTGTTGGAAGCTACAGGGACTATAACTGCCAGCTGTCCACTATCCAGGAGACAGCAGGAACAGATAAAGAGAGAGACAAAGGCACACAATCAAGCTCCCCAGACACACACATACACACACATACACACACACACACACACACGCACGCACACGCACACATGCACACACACACACACACACACACACACACACACACACACACACACACACACACACACACACACACACACACACACACACACACACACACACACACTGACCTTGATTACTATCAAAACAATTCCCCTGGCATAAACAATGTCATGTCTATTCACGTTTCAATTCACTCATTCACTGACTGATCCACACACAGGGTGACCTTCCCTAACATCAACACAATTCCTTGGGCGTAAACATTCTTCATTTGCTGAGTACAGTATGTGCACATGCTAGTATAAACTAGTAAGCTCATTTTGAAGATTGCACACAAATGCTGAAGCAGTCCGTCTGTAATCACAATAACCTCTGGGCATCATTAAAAATAAAAGAATGGATTATATTTGGTAAAATTGCTCATTCAAAACTCATTTCCTCACCATGTCGCTCTCATCAGATTTGTTGTGCTCCAAGCGCTGCTGTAAGAGGAAATAGACCTCATGCAGACCATCAGTGAGATAAAAATCCGTTTTTTTTATTAGGCATTTAAAGTAATCAGCCTCTCTGTCTATGCTGATTTATTCAATTGCATCTCTGTGAACTTTCCGGAGGTTGTCAGTGCTTCCTGATTGCTATGACATTTTCTAGTGTTTAATAGAGGTCAACTGTGCCTTTTTTTCTCTTATCATATAGCTGTAGAATTTCCCAGTAGGTAAACTCGCTTGTATCGTCAGAGACAATCATTTATTTGTCCCTATCTAATTCTATAGTAAGCCTAATCATCCCTAAACAAGAGGAAATAAAAACATTGTATGAGTTGTGGGGCAAATAAAGCCAGAATCCACTCATCATTCAAATGTAGAACCCGGCAAACAAAGAATTGCCTTAAAAGATTAAGTTGAGTTATTAGTTTCTGTTTGAGGGACATTAATCTCCTCCTTAAAATGAACTTTCACACTATGTAAGCTTCCATTTGTCTGTTTGATGTTTAATCAGACAAAATAAATAACATCCACTGCACACGTTTCACAAATCAACATATGTTTGCCAAAATGTGAAGCATGTTTGTGTTTGATATTTCATACTGCTTGTTTCTCATTTTAAATGTTTCTATTCATGATATATGGATCAGGTGAAGGTGAAAAACACCTTCTTTTTAATTTTGGAGGTTATTATCGTTAACAAACACTCGGTTTGTGTTCCTTTGTTCGGCTGCAGGAGATTTGACCGCGCTGTGGAGGAGTGGAGGCAGTTCCACTGTGACCTGAACGACCTGAGCCAATGGCTGACGGACACAGAGACTCTGCTGTCGGAGAGCGTGGGCCCTGATGGACAGCTGGACCTGAACTCTGCAAGACAACACCAACAGGTCAATATGTGGCCTGTCATAGTGTGTTCTACTGGAATTAGCATGTATACTGGTGTATTTCACATGATTTGTAAACATGCTTTTGGTCCCACTGCTACACAGACGTCTGTAAGTGTCTCAAAGTGAAACATATATATTTTTTTCAAACCATTTTTTACATTCAAACTTTTTGTCCCATATCATAATTACTCTATAAGCCCGGTGTTTACGCACTCCTTGAAGTTTTGGCCACAGTCCAGACAAGCCTCTTCACTTAGTAATTCAATCAATGCTCCTATGGCAAGAAACAATAAGTTTAAATCCATTATGATAGATTGATCCTTCAATACCTGGACCAAGAATGGATTAGTCACATTTAAAATACTCAACTCTTATCTCACTTTCCATCATTACCGCCCGACTCTCCTTAAATCTGCTTTGGAGCTCAGTTCCCGGCCCAAAGAGATAATTAGCGCTAAATCTATACTGAAGTCATCTCTTACAGTCTGAATGAGATACAGAACTTTCTGAGGATATATGGGGGGGTCTACGTTTGTTAAGATACACTAATCTTCAATTTGTTTAAATCAATACCATTAGAGATTCTACATACACTGGATTGGTCTAAAAATAAATGTTGGTTGCTGTGTAACACCAGCCACTGCATCACTTTTGTTTGTTCCAAAGATAACATATTGTTGGTAATAAATGCTAGGAAATATTCATGGTATTCCCCCTTTGTCATTATAAACACAAATTAGTCAAATATAGACTCAAAGTAGGGCTGCTCGATTATGGCAAAAATCATAATCTCGATTATTTGGGTCAATAATTGATATCACGATTATTAAAAACGATTATCCATTTACTTTGAAAACATCAGTTTATTGGAGATTTTTTTTTGAACAGTATGTTTTTAAAAGTTGATTACCCAGAACTTAAAGTATAATTCAACTAAAAAACCAATAAAAAAATAATATATAAAAATTAATAATAATAATAAAAAAATAATCGTTATATTTCGATTACGTTGTTTTCGTAATCGTTGCAAGTCATAATCGTAATTGCGATTTAAAATACGATGAATTGAGCAGCCGTAACTCAAAGTATCCCATATGTTTACAAACTCAAAGCAAGATTATCACCTCCCCTGGGAGAAGGGGTAATATGTTTGAAATATAAGCAGCTAGGTTTTTGGAAATGTTAGACCAGAGATAATTGCATTTTTATTCCCTAAGGGGAATAATGGGTACTATACTGTACGTGATGATAAACAAACAGACTGCACACCTACCTGCTTGTTATGCAGAGTAACACATGGAAAGAATGGTCGTTATGATGAGAAGGTGCCTCTAATTTTTCTTTGTTTGATTTATAAAGTACTAATTTAATTTCGGAAGGAATGAGACTCTTTGAAGCTGCTGCATCATCGCTGACAGCACCAGCGCCATTAACACCTTTATCAGTGTGATTTGCAAAGCTCCAGCTACTCTCCATTTCCCCAGGGCTTTTTCATGTTTTCACAGCCGCTGAGATTGATGCGAAGGATCAAGAGGATGGGAATTGAGAGATCAATTAGCTGACTCACCCTTTAGCAGACTTCACAATCCCTCACCCATGCTTTACGGGCCTGCCTTGGCAAGTTAAATCTCTCTTAGTGGGAGAAGCAGAGATAAAGCAGCTTTAATCTCAATCTGCCACAAATCATGCTTCTGTGTCAATCACAGATCTGCTTGGGGAGATGGACTTGAGCAGGGGATTTGTTCCTGAGTGTATCAGCTAATGCTATTTGATTGATCTGCGATTCCACCTTTTTGTGCTTGATTTGATTCCTTTTTCCGTATTATAGGAGCTGGAGGAAGGTCTCGTCAGCCACCAGCCTGTCCTGGCTGAACTGACCCACTCTGGGGATGAGATAACCGGGCAGCTGTCGTCCCCTGACGGAACCCTGCTTGAGGAGAAGCTTGACAATCTCGGTCAGCGCTGGAGAACGGTCAACCGCCATGTCCTTGAGAGGCATCGCAGGTACTGTATCCTCGGAAAAACACGGGATGTTACATCACTGATTGAAAAGATTAAGGGGATGTGGTCAAATGTGGATACAACACATGATAAATATCAGTGCTGTGTTTAGCTTGTATAACATTTAGTTTTGCAGTATAATGTAGCACAGAGGTTAGCACCCCCTCTCAATCACTGACAGTCTTAGCTTCCTTATCAGTGTTTGGCAGATTAACAATATCAGTGAAGCTAATCAGTCCATAACAGTCATTTAAATGTACATTTCTGAAATATTCCTGCAACCTGCGGGAAATGGAGATCCTAATCTGAGTACATTATGTGTGTGTGTGTGTGTGTGTGTGGGTGTGTGGGTGTGTGTGTGTGTAGGCTGGCTGGAGGAGACCAGGCCCTTTCAGACCTGCTGAGGAGACGTGAGGAGCTGTCTGTATGGTTGGAGCAGGCAGAAAACGCTGTCAGCTCTTTACCCATCACCGCTACTGACAACAACCTCAGAGAACTCAAGGTACAGGAAGACCCAAGACATGCTCATACTAGCAGGATTCATCGGAGCTTAGAGATTTCTATTTCTGATGCAGAGCTGGTAGTTTCAGCTCTGACTGTGTTTAACTTTGTTCTTTCTCCCTGTTCGCTTCACTGTACTCACGACTTGCTCTCTGTAACTCAATCACAAGCACAACCTGTCAAACCCAGTAAACATACACAGAGAGAAACTAACTCTCACATCTTTTGTTTTCTAAACAATGCAGCATTGTTGAAGAGACTACAGTCCCTCAGTTGTTTCTGCATTCATTCCTTCCTGAACCTCAGTAGCCTGACTTTCCCTCTGTGGAGACACATTGCCCAAAGTACAAAGAATGATGTTATGTTACTATATATTGAACAACTCGACACAATATTGTTGAGTTTCACAGTGTTACTTCTTAATATCACTTTGCTGATGTTACTCTTACTTGTCAATATGTCAACAAAGCAGTCCATCTTTGTGGAATAAGCAGTCAGTGTTTTTCCTCTTGCAGGCCATAGCAGAGGAGATGGACGCACAGAATGAACGTCTCGGATGGGTAAACAAGCACGCCCCTCAGATCCTCGCCAGTCCCAGCGTGAGCCTTCAGAGCAGAGACCAGCATGTCAGCAAACTGAGAGCCATTAACCTCAGCTGGAGCAGGGTGCAAACTTTTTATTATTTCATTATTCTGACTAGTCTTCCAAGCTTTTGTCTTCTGTGAAAAACACTGTAGTGTAGTCATATTTACTGGGTTTTTGCGTGTGTGTCCTGTTCACCCACCCCTACAATGGGGACCCAAAAGTATCATATAATCTTGCTAAAGCGCTTCTCACCAAACAAACAAATAAATAATTAAAAATACCATAATTGTTTTAAAATGTTTTCTGCTATTGAAAAAAAAAAAAAAATGTTTGCTGAGTTCAAACTGCGTACATAACAATAAAAGACTATACATAATTAACCAATCAGGATCAATTATTCAAGAAAGTCATGTAATAAAACATCGTAACAGCTACAACAAGTCTTGTCTTGCCTACTTTCTTTAGCTTTTTTCTGGAGTCTTTCACTCATTTTTCCAATTGTCTTTTCTTTCCCCTGCAGGTGACCCATGAGTTGTTGGACAAAGTGGGGGAGGTGGAGAACAACCTGCAAAGCCATGCTCAGTTCCAGGACCGGATGAACCGACTCACTGACTGGGTCGTCGTGACACATCAAACAATCATGACCAGAGGCCTGAGCTCCAGCCAAGCACAGGTATATCGTGTAAATAATATATTACAAAAAGCACATCTAACCGTACTTTAAATCTATTTTATCACAGACATAAAAGTTGTCCCTAAAAGAAGTTCTTACCTGCTGTAGGCTCTGGATGTGTCCATGAGGGACAGGAAGAAGGATCTGGAGGACCTGTTGGCTCATTCTATAGAGCTGCAGCGACGACAGCAGCTATCGCCACGCGAAAAAGTACCAGTTTCCATAGCAATATGATTTAATAAGGACATACAGCCAGTTTTAACATATAACTATACCATATTGCTTGTTAAAGGGCCACATGTACTTTTGCTGTTGTTTTTTCATTAATCATTCATTCCTGTCTATGTAATTATACGTAAAGATGAAGGTGGAGGAGCTGGCAGGTGATTGGAAAGCGTTGGACGGCCGACTGAGGGAAACTCTCCAGACGCCCGTCTCTCCGTGGACGCAGCACCATGTTGTCCAACACCAGCAGCTTGGTAAAATATCTAGAAATGGACTCGTTTAAATAAATGATTCTTCTCATTTCTGTATACGCATCTCAACATTTCAAATACATCAATGGAATAGAGATGGGGAAACAGAATCCAAATGAGTTATTAATCCTTTAATGAGACCGAGTACATTAGATATTGGATCATTACTCGGAGATGAGAAACTTATCAATATTGTATTAGAGGTAATAAGTGCTCAGGTGGCAGATTTGAAATTCCTCATTGCTTTGCATTAAACTGGTGCATTCAAATGTATGATGAAACCACAAATAAGTGACAAGCAAAAAAGGGGCTGCTGGTGTAACACTGAAGCAAACCCCAAGGCTTCATTCATCACGATTTAGTGTGATGTCACTTTCCTCTGAGAGCTATTTGACAGCGCCTTCTCCCTCGCTCCGACATCTTAAATGTTCATTGCATCATTTCCTTTTTAAAGAGACCCTATATGTCAACATTACTCGCCTCTTTTTGCTCCTGCTCCAGTGTCTTCGGTCCCTTCAGCTGTGCAGATGGCCAGCCTGGTGAGCGAGGACCCCCACCACCAAACCCCGCACACACCAGACAGCGTGGCGCCCACCGACCTCAACGAGACAGCCACCGAACTGGCAGACTGGCTTCTCCTCATCACACAGATGCTCAAGTCTAATATTGTCACTGTGGGGGACACAGATGAGATCAGGACCACTATGGGACGTCTTATGGTGAGAAAAGGGGAGCAGAGAAGATTCAATTATATGTTTTTGTATTTTTGAACAGAAAAGAGCCAAATGTAATCCTGTGAGCTATACACTTTGTCTGACAGTGTGTGTGGTTTTGTGTCAGGTAACAAAGAGTGACCTGGAACAGCGTCACCCCCAGCTAGAGGACATTTTCACTTTGGCCCAGAACATCAAAAACAAGACCTCTAATCTAGACGTCCGCACTTCCATCACTGAGAAATGTATGTATAAAGCAGGATGATCACAGTACAAAGCCATTGAACAGATACAAAAAAAATACATTAGCTGTTCCAATGACAAAATAAACAATGTCCTCAAAAAATAAAATACTGTATATTCTTAGTAGTGTTTACAATGTGTGCTTGTTTTTATCCAACACCAATTTGCTCTTCACTTCATAATTTGATGTTTAAAAGGTACCGCCATTCATTTCCTGTGTTTGTGTCTCTGTCTCAAGTGGAGAGGGTACGCAGCCAATGGGACAGCACTCAGCACGGTGTCGAGGCACGGCTCCAGCAGCTGGACAACATGATTGGCCACAGCAACCAGTGGGAGGAGCAGAGGAAGGAGGTGAACGCTCTGGTTGGACACAATGAAGGACGTTTCCACAACCTTCTCCAGCAGTCGGGTGATCCCCTGACCAAACAGCTTGCTGACAACAAGGTTAGGAGAGAAAGTCACTGCTTGCCTTTCCCTTCATGTCCTCTGTGTGTCTGTTCGTCCTCTGGTCATTTATTATGTTCTGTATCATTGTCATAGAGTATATTAGAAAAGATATACTCCTTACTTACTTCACTAATTGAGAGAAAATCGTATTCAAAACCAAACTTTGTAAAGTGTTAGAAGTCCTTTACCCAGATGTATAAGCCTGTGCAAGGTGGGCAATGATAAACCACCTCTCCGCAGTTTCACTTTGAACCTTAATAAGATCTGCACACCCACATCATCCATCATCTAAATTTGAGATGATGACTTGTCCGAGAGTTCCTTGAAACACAATCTGCCCCATGAGTGTGTCCAGCTCATTACAGGAACCAAACACTAGAGGGCAACTGAGTTTAACAGAACCCAGCAGGGCACAGCAGATACACACCTTTCTGTTCCTGGTCTGTGTGATCTTGTAATGATGAGTAATAATCCTTGTGAAATAGTGAAGTGCACCTTATTGTTAAAGGAATACGAGCCTGGTGACTTATCTGCTAATGCTTAATTTAAAAATAATAATAGGGCCTCATGAATAACAGTTGGGTCTTATGTTACCTACTTGATTAAGTAGAGGTTAAAATAACAAAGTCACATTGCTGAGCAGGAGAATAACAAATGTCTTTGTTTTATTATTAACTGAAGTTAATTTAAAATGTTGGATAGGTCATTAATTATCTTGCAGAGTAACATGTCTAACTTAAGCTGATACCAAGCCAACACACTGTCAATATCAGAGAATGTCAATTAATAATTTAAGAAAGTAATGCGAACAGTGCCCTTGACAGTGACACATAATGGTTGAGTCACATTTGCCACATTTTCAGTGTTGTAATTATCCTAATGCCACCGTGTTGGCTGTTTCTCAGGCATTCCTCCAAGACCTGGGCCGAGGCCAACCTACAGTTGTGGCGTTCAACGAACTGTCCAATCATCTTTTGCGGGAATATTCTACCGACGACACCAGGAGGATCAAGGAAGTCTCAGATAAGCACAACGCAGTCTGGAACAGCATCAACAACAGGTGCACACATACTCACCTGTCTACCTTTACGCTTGCATTGTTTGACCTGAGTGGCTGATATCATCGCTAGCATTCAATCATATACTCAGTAAGTGCTTTTTATAATTGATTGGCAGAGCCAGTGACCGCCACGCCCATCTGGACAGTCAACTGAAGGGCCTGCAGGTGTCCCTCAGGGAGCTCGAGACCTTCCTCAAATGGCTCCCGGAGGCAGAGACCACAGTCAACGTTCTGGCCGACGCCTCCCAGAGAGAAGACCTGTCGCAGGACTCCGCCCATACGAAGGAGCTGAGGCGACAACTGGAGGTAGGGGCTGCAAATGAAAAGAGAATCGGTGTGTGTGTGTGTGAGGAATCCACTAGCCTATTATCTCGGTGTCATCCCTCATTAATTTATCCTTACCGATAGCACTGAGGTGGATGTGTGTGTGAAGGTCTATCCGTGTGTAAGCGGCCGGTTTAAGGTTTGTGAATGAGAGGGCATACAGAGGGCGTGTGAGTGCTTGTATGCATTGAGTGCTGCTCATTGATCCACTTGTCCTATGCTGCTTAGGAATTCTGTCTGTGTGTGTGTGTGTGTGTGTGTGTGTGTGTGTGTGTGTGTGTGTGTGTGTGTGTGTGTGTGTCCTCGCCCTGGCTTGTCATTTACTCAGACCTTCCCTCAGCGATCTGTTGACACACATCATCTTATGCTTTATGTAACGTTTTAATCCCAAAAACGCTTCACCCCCCCACCTTTCGACAGATAAATCTGGCAGTTATAATCTTTTTATTTCCTTCATCCTAGTGAAGTTGAACTGTCTTTTTTAAAATGCAGACCCTGTCAGTCTTGTGTTATCTCTCTTAGATTGTACACCGAGGGGCTGTCATTTGCACAATCTTCTTTTGTTCAGCATTGTGAAAGGTTTGGTATTCCTGTGTGAGTCCAAGCTTCCTGTTGCTCTTCAGATTAATCCTTGTGCCTGAGAACCCGCTGCAATGTCGAACATCTTTTAGAAAGCTCGAATCCAGTAATAACATTCTTGGTTTTGCCGTCTTGAATGCCACAGTGCTATCATTCCCATTTCCAGTGTCCAATTATTTAAAAGCAGGCCAAGGTTATAGAGTTGCCACAAAGATTTCTGAGGATTCATTAACTTGCTGTAGACGTGGGACTCAGAGACTTTTGCAGCTCTATCTTAAGCCTGGGCTGGATTTCGTCTTCCACAATTGTGAGCTTTGGGGAAAAATCCATAATATTGTAACATTTATCGGCCCGTAACAGTAATCTATATTTGTTGTATTGACACACTCATTCATCGCTTTCAATATTTTAAAGGACGCAAGTGTACTATTTAATTGTATTCCTAAAAAGTATTTCAAAGTCATCATCATGTCAAGAGTGGAAAATGAGGTTGTTCATTGCCCACTGTCTTCATTGTTATCCAGTGTTTTCCCTCTCATTTCCATGTCTCTGTCCGTTGGAGTCGAGAGTGATGGGTGGCTCTTGTGTCTAGAACGTAGGATAATAAAACAACCTTTGAGCCTTTGAGGACATGTGTTGATAGAGAGCTTTCTCTCAAACCCTTTTATTAACTCACAATGACTGCTGTGCCACTGAGTTTCAGGTTACTTTAATCACATACTTTGGCCACAGGCCATTGTCAATCTGAATGCTTTTTTAATATTAAGCTCACAGTTGTGGTTAGGAGCAATGAGGAATACAAATGTGACACATTAACTGCAATCTCCTGAAAACCGTCTTAATGGATATTGAACAAAGCTCATCTGACACACTTGATGCACTGATGAAATACTCAAGCCAATACATTCCCAACTCTTTCAAAAATGGCACAGTGGTGTTATAACCTGTATCTAGATAAGAACATTGATACCCTTCGGTTGTTTTCAACTTCAAACCAAGCTAGCTGTTTCCCTTTGCTACCCACTCTTTATGCTAAGCTAAGCTAAGCTAATTGAATACCCTCCTTGCTCTAGCTAAATGTTTACCATAGACACAATTAAATGAAAGTGCTCTTAAGCTGTTCTTCAACTGTCAGCAAGAAATGGAATTATCATATTATTGAAATATAAATATTTCAATAATATGCTTTTGCTTAAAAACTGTGTTTAATGGACACTCAAACTCTGTTATACTGTTACACTATCTTGGCATTAGTGTAACAGCTGGGCAACAGGGATACAATCCTCTTTTATGGTATATGTAATTGTATGCATCATCTGTAGTACATTGTGGTATGGTTTATTTCCTGGAACAAATACAGCAAACCATGTTTAAATCCTATCTTGTCCTAAAGCAGTCCGTCCTGCTTATTAATGAGCAGCATTGTATTTAACGGTCCAATACAGCGAGAGACATTAAAGAGATAATTACCTCTGGCTATTTTTAGCATCTCATTTGACATAATATTGAAACGGCTTGCTCACACTGGAGCTGGTATGTGTCGTATGTTTTTGATTTCTTCCCTCCATCACGACACCACATGATGGAAGGTGTATCTATAATGGGATCAGCGAAGAAGTGCATAGGTGCACACAGATGAAGCTGCATATGGAGCTCCATTAACTGGTTTGGCGGTCGGAAATACAATTATGTGTGTGTGTGTTTGTTTGTGTGTGTTTTGACCTTAGCAAAGTGAGCAGCAGAGACATAAAGTGCATGCCTGCTACGACCTCTTGGTTAAAACCTTAATCTGAATGCCATTAAGACTGAGCCAAAAAAACACTCAGTGCACCTTCTAATTCCCCGTGAAGCAGGGTGGATACTGTGGAATGACTGGAATGGACGCCGTATCCAGTTAAACCTTTCCACACAGACCTCTTCAATAAGCCCATCATGATCCCCTCTCCTAGAGACTGTGTGTTTATCTGTGTCGGTAAATGATGATTACTCTAGCTGGCTGCGTAGGTAAGCTGCATGTTGGTTTAAAGGAATGTGTTCTCATCTTTCCTCTGTGCCTCAGTCTCCCTTCATCTGTGCAAAGAGACAAGGCAAGCAGGGGGCAAGTACTGTAATGCATCCTGTGGTGCTACACAAACAACAGCATTTGTGTATGTGGGTCAGTTTGTCCTCTTCTTAAATGCATGATGGTTACGAGAGAGCGACGGTGTGAAGCTAGGCAGATGTTTTCAGCCTGACTCTAAATAGCTGCTGTTTCTCTTGTGGTTAGCAGAAAGAGAGGTGTTTTTAAATTCAAGTGAAAGAGTCATAGACGGCATACATAGCTTTTAAAATACCCAGTGTGAGTAATGCTGTATGGTCAGTGGCTGAGCGTCTGCCTTATGATAATCTCTGCTGATTGTGCAACTATCTCTCCGTTTGATCTCCCGCCTCTTGATGTCCTATCTTTCGGTAAGCGTGCGCTAAGAGATTTAAAACAGAACCATTTTTCAAACGGATAAAAGATGCTTAAAAGCCTTTTATCCTCTCTTGACCGTACCCTCCTACCTTCTCTCCTCGTGCACCACTTTACTCCCACTTTTGCAGTTTGTCATCTTTTACCTGGAGCTTTCCTAGAACAAATGCTTTCACTATAGTTTAGAATTTCATCAGATCTTTTCTAATACAGTCCCTGAGCTTTTTCTTCAACCATGTGAATGTCATGTTTCTCCAAGTGCTCCAACTGTCACTCACTAACATTGCGAGGCAGAACGTGAATGAGTGATGTGCTTCCAGGAACCCTGGACTGTAGAAATAACTCCTCCCTCTCCTTAACTCTATTGTGTGTGTGTTTGCATCTCATTTATTCACTCGCTTATTCCCTCTCTCTCTTTTTCCTCCATCTCTTTCTCTCTTTGTCTGCCTCCCGTTCATTGATCTGTAGGTTTGCTTGCGTAATGTCGTTGTGCCTTCAGAGGCAGTGTTTGTCATCTCTTACACCGCTGCTTTTTATTTGTCTGTCTCTTTCTGTCTCTCTCTCTCCCTCTCTCTTTCTGTGCTAAAAGGAGCTCTCCCTCTCTCTCCCTCTCTGTCTCTCTCCGGATCAGCGGCAGTAAAAAGTGAACCGCGTACGATCAGCTTCTCCACTCGTCCAGCGCAACACTCCTTTACCCCCTACGTGCCGGCACTTTCCACTCTTCCCTCAGAGTTGATTTTTCTCTTTTCTCCTCCTCCTTCTTCTTTCTTCATTTCCTTTTGTCCTCGTCACCCTACTCTGACTCTGCAGGGTGCCGTCACAAGTGTTTTGTTTGAATGTCTTCTGGCTCCGCAATCGGGTGCGCGTGTGAATGTCCGCGTGGAGGAGAAAGTGAGTGTCTCGTCCTGTCCTGCTTGCATCATCGTGTGTGTGTGTGTGTGAGAGAGTGTGTGCATGCTGAGAGGGACTGTTTATAAAGAGAGAGAGGGAGAGAGATAACTCTGGCTGCACTCTGTGTAGTGCGCGTATTTGACGAAACATGGGGGCATGCTGAGCTGTGTATGCTTGCGAGTGTGTGTGTTTTTTTTCTTCTGTGTGTGTGTGTGCATGTGTGTGTGTGTGTGTGCACATCACATCAGCTTGGCTGGGGTCTGGTCGGCTGGCTAGGGAAAGAGAGAGGGAGAGGGAGAACAATATGAGCGGGGTAGGGCAGTGCTAGCATGCGGACCAAAAGCAGGCTGCTGCAGAGTTGTAGCAGTCTTAGGATGATGGCCATGGTCCGGACATCCCTCCAGAAAGTGGTGGTCTTCCTACACAGGCTCCAGAGGATGGCCATCTCCTCGCCGCGCTACCACAAACTTTGCAAGGTACGTGGACTCCCGGACAGAGAGAGAGAGAGAGAGAGTGGGCTGGAGGACTGTTTTTTGTTTTTTTACTACATTTAATTGAGATAAGTTTGAAGCTTGTGTAGCTGATTATTGTTTTTTTTTTTTTTCTCTGCTCTCCAAACTTGCTTGAGGTTTTAAGATGTGTTCTTTAGAGATGCTGTTACTAATGCAGAGGCGGTTTATGTTGGTGTATGCCTACAGTATCAGCAGGTATCCATAAAGTTTTCCCTCGCTATGTGTGTATTGTTTGTCAATGTCAATGTCACAAATCAGGAGTGGCAAGTTCTCTATCTTTCGGTAGTTTCTCCTTTATTTTTAGCATTTCTATTCATGAGTCATTTAGTTATCAAGACATTCTGTTCCAGGAGATGTTTTTTTCGGGAGTCTGTCACCTCCACAAAATGTCGCTTGAATAAATAAATAAATAAATAAATAAATATACTGCCGTGACTTTAGGACTTTTTGAACTTTTGCAAATCAGACTGTGTGTGTGTGTGTGTGTGTGTGTGTGTGTGTGTGTGTGTGTGTGTGTGTGTGTGTGTGTGTGGTTCTTGAATGAGCATACAGTCAGTCTGTATTTTTGCGGTTTGTCCGAGGCATCCTGACAGTAGATATCGTGAGATAACTCATGTTCCTCAGCAGTCAGATGATTGATGAGACAGTTAACTCTACAATGGATGTAATGAACATTTATCTCTGTTAATTGAAGTCATTAGCTGACTTTCTTATGGCGAACGCATTGTAAATGCTAAAATCACACGCTGCTGAACATGGTGCAGTGTATTGTGTTCCTGATGAAGTTACAGCTGTTTGTCAGCTTTGTCGATTTAACCTTAGAGCAAACGATTTCTGCTGTGTGCTGGACTTGTTGTCATTTTCTCTCTGTTGATCATTATTGATCTTGGATCTTCATTGCTCTCCCTCTTGCCTTGCACAACACTGACCCCCTCTCAGGCAGAGGGCACCAGCTGTTGAGATTTGACAGTGTGAGAGACTAATGCATCCGACCAGTTTCTGATAACTTGCCAGCTCCAATCATGTTCCAACAGACATGTGGTGGCTCAACTTAATCCATCCTTAATCCATGAAGCCATCACTCTTTGGTGCTCCATCCTTGTATCTGCTGCCTGTGTTTGGTTGTTTGTCAGTCTATCCTTGTCATATTGCCCATTGGTGGTCACGGTTAAATTCAATTTCTTTATTTTACAG